GGGGAAGGGAAAGGGATGACTGCAGAGACTCAACCAACACTTTAATCTCCTGGACTGTGCTATTTAAAGGCTCTCAAATCGCTATGAAAAATCCCAGCAGCATTGAATGCACCTTATGGAGGAACCCGTTGTCCAACTCCTTTGTCTAACAGGAGCTTTTACAGTGTTATGGGTGCTCTGTCAGACTAGATGAAAGGTTGTAAGGAAAGTAGTTCTTGGTTATTTATTCTTTATAACATGTATAGTCTACTTTACTCTCCCTTTGTTTTCATAACAACCATGTGCAGTATAGAGTGTTGAGAGATACCAACACACGAAGCCATGTAGTTACACTGTTTCTGGTTTCACATCTTCCCTGAACTTAGCCACTGTGATTTGCAAACCATAATTTATACTTCAGTGTGTTATGTGGATCCAGCCAATTGTGTTTTATTTGGTAAATCGCGGTTAAGCATTGAATTACCCTGATTTGTGAACTCTCAATAAATCCATGGCCAGGAAGGAAATGAATCTAAGTCCTCCTTAATTTTATGAGTAATGAAAGCTAATAGTCATATCCAAAAGCTGACCTAACATAACACTCATTTTTGCACCAAACTCGGATATATACATTATCCACTCTCAATGGCACCCATCTTTACCTTGAAAAAAAGTTCTATCCAGTCTCACATTTAAAGTCCTGAAAGTTGGTAGAACTAATATCCTTTAAACTTGAAAGCTTTCACAAATTATTTTCAGAGATTTAGCATGGCAATTACAAAACACGCTATTAGCCTTATGTATAAGTGATTTCTCTGTTCCCCTGGCAGAATTTGTGGAAGACAAATTTCAGATCTGTCCCTTAATTAACCCAGATGATGACGTCATGGACATTCTTCACTGGCACTGCTTCTTATAAAAACACAAAACAAGAGACAATGTCCATTATCAGACCATCTTCTGCTCCAGACATTGGAAGCAAGCTCTCAAAGCTACACAGAACTCTTCTTCAGGTGTGTTAAAATAAAAGGCTGCATTTGAATTTGAATGCTGGACAGTCCTGTGAGATCATGTCAATAAAAAGAAAATACTTGTGTGTTAAGTTAGAAAAGGACAAGACAGTAAAATGATCAGTATTAATTTTAAGGGTAGCTAGCAGAGAGCAACTCAGTTTAGTATTACTTTGGAAAGCAAGCTGAGATTAAGTTATTAATAACTTCAGGATGAGCTAATGGCACATTATGGTTTAGCGGTGAACCCAGTCAATGAAACTGGGTTAAAAGTTAACCTGTTCTCATGTGTTTCCAAGATACTCTCATTATTGATAGCCAGTGGCAACCAGCATTCTCATACTGGCTACCCCACTGCCTTATTAGGAGCAACAAATGAGCATTCTAAGCTTAGATGAAGAGCTTGGTAGCAATGCTAGGCCTATAAACTATTGTTGAGGGCATGATGCCATAGCTGCAGAGTCTGGAAGCCAAGACATCAGCTGCCCACCCTGCAGACGACCCCACTCTATCTCATCCTATCTGGTGTCGTGGGTTTCCCTGATCCTCTCTCTTTTTCTTGGCTTCAGGCAGAGCGATCAGGGGAAAAAACAATGTCAAACCTGGTGTGGCTGTGTTTATGGAAGGAAACACAGGTGGAAAGCAGAAGAGCAGCCCAAACAGAATTCCATGGCAGAAGTTGGCAATGGTTTGGGCTAGATGATCTTTAAAATCCCTTCTCTCTCTCTCCAGTTCTGACAGTAGGTAGCCCAAAGATAGAAGTTGGCAGCAGGCCAGGGGTACCTCTATCTGGCTTTAAGGTCTTCTGTCTAGTTCTGGGCATCTTTTCTACAAAGATCTTGTCTACAAAGCCCAAAGCAGCCTCGCAAGGGGAAAGAAAAAGGGTCCAACTCTGAGAAATAGGAAGTCCCCAGGTTCCTCCCAGGGCCCTTTCTAAATGTAAGAGGGGAGGAGTCTCAGAATAAAAAATAAGAAGAAAGAATGAGGAGGGCTAATGATACATTTTTCTAGCTCTCTTTTAAGGGTTTTATAAAAATCTGTTCTCTTTTATTGGAGATCCCTACAACATTTAGTTCTGTTTTAACAGATGGGACCGAATTCTATTTGCTTTTAAAATGAGGTTATACTCGAATAGACATCATCCTTGCCTGCTGCCCCTAAAGCATGAGAGCGTATCTGCTCCGTAGAGAGGTGGTGAGATGGGACATGGTTGTCCACTTGCTGGGGAAGACCACCAGTCAGGCCAGAGGAACAGCCCTGTCACTTTAACAGTTGAATGTTTCCAGGCTGAGCTAAAGGACAAGCCCAGCCTCTTTCTCTTTCTCTCTCATGCGACTGTCCCAGCTAGAGCTGAAGCCTAAGAGAACAAAAGATGCCAGACAAACTCAGAGCCCTGCTTTAGGTGAAGCAGATGCCAGCATCCCAGGTGACAGCTGGATAATGGGGAGCCAAGATCCCTGAGCAAGCCAGAAGGAAGGCATCCAATCAGACCTGGATTACAGGTGAGAGGGGGAAAAGTTATACTTGCTTTTTGAAAATAGTCCTCTGCAAATTCTACCATCATTTGGAAAAGTGGGGTGGGGAGAAAAGCAATGCAGAGTCTAGTGGAGGAGAACACCTTGCTGGGTGCATGGATATCTTGCGTGTATTCCTACCTGTACCTCTTTGCGGTGTGTTCCTTCCAGGCCTTTTCTTCTAATGAGGATTATCAGAGGCAAATACTTCATAGACAGGAGTGGGCTGAAAAAGTCTTCCACCCTACTGAGTAACCCTCCACCCTACTCCCAATTCTTTTTATGCATATATTCAGTGATTTCAGGGATAACATAGGCCACTAGTTTGCCTCCATTGCCCTGTTCCAGAAACTTTGCAGGAGAAAGTGGGGGCAAACAATGTTTCTGGATGGGTGGTGGGAAGAGGTAAGATTAGAAAGAAAGAAACATGGCTGGGGATAGTAGAGAAACAGTTATGTAAGAGAAGAATGGCAGCTTATTATGAAGTTCATTCATTTCTTATTTGCATTTATAATCCATTTGTTTTTAGAGTGGTCCAAGCAGCTGATACCTTCAAATAAAATATGAATAGTTAAAACCCTGAAAAAATGAGTGGAATTCATTTGTGCTGTAAAAATTAAGGGTCATTCTAGGTGTAATTATCAGCATTACAAAGAGTAATTTCATGTAGACATTTACACTTTATTAAAAAGAAGTAATTCCCAATGCCTTTTTTGTTGTCTTAAACATTTATACAGCAGCTATTTTACTACTCTGAAATTGTGTTTGTATGAATGTGTATGGTTATTAGTGAAAATAAGACTATAGGTAAATAAATGAGAAATGAACATGCATATTGTGAATTAACTGTACTGGACATAAAATTATCAACTAGTTAGGACTATCAATTAAGGTTTTTGGCTAATGAATAGTCTGATAAATTTATAAATATATATAACTGCATATTAATACTGACATATTCTCTATAATATGAACGAATGTACAGTTTAGTACACAAAAAATACTCCTGACTAGAAAAAAAGTCTTTGTGATATATTCTGAAATATATTCTAGTTTATTCCACATAGAAACCTTTGGTATTGAATTATCCAATTAGAATAACTTAGAAGAGTAAGAACTAAAAGTAAGCCTACCATGTATAAACTTCTGCATGGTGCAGGGGAAAAAATCTGAGCAATTGTTATTGTTTCATCCTACTAGAAGCAGGCTCATTCCTTGAAGCTGTATGAAGAGAAGAATTCAGAATGAATTACTTCCTCACAGAACTCAGAGTATACTTGTGGGATACACTCACCCATGATGTAGTTATGGCCATTAACTTGGATGGCTACAAAGACCAATTTGTGGAGAATGGGGTTCCCAATGGATGGATGGATGATAGAAATACTGTACATCTTTTCTATTTGTACAGCCACAGGTTTCCAGAGTGTTCACATGTTCACAGGCTTTTGTTAGGTTCTTTCTATCTAGGTTTTGACAACTTTCTTCCTAGTTTTCTTGCTAGAGAGAGGTCCTTCATGGAAAGCAAAGGGCTTCCCAGCTGGACTGGTTAGCATGGGTCAGACATTTTGATCTAACCGTTGTATTCTTTTTAAAATAGAGACTTCTTGAAGAAAGGAGTATATTCTTAAGGTAAAACCCTCCCTCTCCAGTTTCCAGTTCAGATGCCAGAGCCATTCCTAGATAATAAAAATGGTGGAAAGTTATAACCCAGTGTTTTGTTTGGAAATGTGCAACCCTGCCCAGAGAAAGATCCCTGAGGTGAAAGAGAGCAATGTAGCAGGCTAGGAGAGGTGGGGGAAAGCAACTTCAACAGTTTGCCTTCCAATAAATGGTGTTTTGTGATCGGCCAGTCATTCTCTGAGCATGACTATTCTCAACATTCTAATTATGTTCACCAACCCCAAAAGATTGTGAACCCTCTGCTCTAAAAGCAAAAGTTTTCAAGTGAAAAAGTGTACCTGGTCTCTTGTTTTAATTCCAAAGATGTGCTTCATTCTCATACATGTAGCCCACACTGATGACATTTTATAGGGATCAGTTTTCTCCAAGGGCTGCTCCTCTCTCTGCAATGCCCAGTGGAAATTCTTGTCTCATTCTAATGAAGCAATCTGTCCCCAAAACAATTTACCCACTTAGCTAACTGGGATTGGGCTGAGCTGTCAGATAGTGGTTGAGCTTCCCTCTTTCCAGATAAGTTGACAACAGGCATAAAAAATCCATCCCTGCCGCCCCTCAATGTGTCTTGATTTTGCCAAGACTTTCATGTTCCATATTCCTTTCAAAGCAAAATAATCTCATGTAGAGTAGTTGAGATGAGAATGGGGAGGCTGATCCACTTTGGTCTTGGGTGCTACATCTGTAGTGTAGATGTTTAATTCATTTAATCCCACTTTCTTGCCATGGAAACCAGGGTTCATAGCATTCAATAAAAAACACCGTTAGAATAGGAAACATAATAATCTGAAACTGCAATAATTAACACATTCAATGGAGAACCAGTTAAAAGCTGGGAAAGGGGAAAATATTCACTGAAAACATTTTGCACAGAGAAAACCTGAGTGAGATGAGAGAGGTTTAGCATGTGGCTAAAGTACATGATGATGGATATTCAGGGCTTCTTAGAGGAAGAAATGTCTCCCAGGAGTAGAGAAGGTAGTGAATCTTTTCCACTAGTTGTCAGAACATTCACATTTCATTCCTGTAGTAGATTTCTTGATTTTCTTGGACCCAATTGTTTGGGACATTTTTTGTCCAATTTCCAATCTCTCCTTTCAGGAGAAGTTTATTGACAAGGTAGTCAGACAGCAGTTTCAGAGGGCCTTTGGGGAAACTGATTTTCTAGACCTTTTTCAGTCAGGTTTCAGGCTGGGACATAGTATCAAGGGGACATTGATCACACTTATCAATTATCTATGGAGAAGGTAAGACTGGGGTGGTATGATCACCTGGCCATCCTTGGTCTCTCAGTGGCTTTCTATACCCTTGGATCATGGTATCCTCCTGGACCACCTGCAGAGACTGGAAGTGGAGAACACTGTTGGCAGTAGTTCTTCACCTTTCTCCGCAGCCACTTTCAGTCTGTGTTGATAGGAGGGGAGAGATTGGAAGCTATAGGGATCTGGATGGGGAGGAACAGACTAAGGTATGGGATGGGATTTTATTCCATGGCTGGAAAGGGGGGTATTCAAATGCATGTTCATGTTGCATGTCCCTTTTTTATCTGAGTAACAACCATGTGAATAAATCTAGACTTGAGATAGGCCCTTCATCTCTAAACGAGGATTTGAACACAGACATCTCTTCTCATAAGTCAGTATCCTAACCTCTACACCACACTGGCTATTCCAAACAGTTCTTTTCCTGATAAGAGAGCCCAGCATGTGTCCAGATACATTGGAGCACTTAGCTTAGCAAAGCTTAATAAAATCGCTTTGGGATTTTGCTCAATTAGGACAGCAAACAATGGGTAGCATCAGAAATTGTTTAACTTAAAATAATCATGTGCACCTCTTTGATTGCCCAAAGGTCCTTCCCAATAATGTGTTTATTTCATTAATTTAATTTTACATGCAATCCCAAACTTCTACCAGGGTGGACACCTTTCTCTTTGCAGGTAGAGAGAGTCACAGCTGAAACAGCAAGATCTCCTGCTATTGCTGAATCACTCATTGTATCCTATACCCCATGATTAGTAAGACACCCAGATTATCTACTGCCTGTGAAGGTCATCATTTGACTGCACTTCCCCTCCACTCCCTCTTCAGAATATTTGTTATAGCCATTTACTTTTAGGAAGACACCAATTCCCTAAGAGAACTTTAATGAAGACTATCTTTGCGTTCTTCTTCCCTTTCTCCTGCAGCAGCCATGGGCGAGTGGGGATTCCTGAGTTCCTTGCTGGATGCGGTGCAGGAGCACTCACCCATGGTGGGACGCTTCTGGCTGGTGGTGATGCTCATCTTCCGCATCCTCATTCTAGCCACAGTGGGCAGTGATGTCTTTGATGATGAGCAGGAGGAGTTCGAGTGCAACACCAAGCAGGTGGGGTGCAAACAGATTTGCTATGACTTGGCATTCCCCATTTCCCATTACCGCTTCTGGGTTTTCCACATTGTAGTGCTCTCAGCCCCAGCTGTTCTGTTTGTAATCTATTCTATGCACCAGACCACCAAGATCAACCGTGGCTTGAAGGAAGCGGATGGCGGTCAGGATGAAGCCAATCAGGCAGGGAAGAAAGTTCAGGTACAATTTGAACTCCAGCCTAGTCAACGCACTCGAAATATTCAGACCTTCTACATAGTCAATGTCGTAGTAAGAATCTTGGCTGAGATGGGCTTTCTGGTAGGACAGTGGATGCTGTATGGCTTCCAAGTAGGATATCAATACATCTGCAAGCATCGTATGTGTCCTCATCTCATTGATTGCTTTGTATCTCGGCCAACCGAGAAGACCATCTTCATTCAGTTCTACTTCATGGTTGGGCTTGTTTCAGCTTTTCTCAGCCTGGTGGAGCTGGCTCACCTTTTGCTCAAGAAGCGGTGCCGGAGACGTCACGTGATCGCTCCTCCTGCCACTGCATCATACGAACAGCAGGACAATTGGTCCAATCAGAAACAAGAGAAATCACAGCACTTTCTAGCTCCAGCTGATGGGGGTACCAATGGGACATCAGCTCATGATGGGATTCCTAACCATTATGAATCCAAGGCTCATTTCCATCATAAGAGCTCCACCAAGAGCAGCCGATCTTCTCGCTCTTCTGCCAGAGGTGACTTGACAGTGTAAGAGCAGAGAATACTTCCTTGTCTGCTTATTCATTTGTTCCCTGGAGGAGCTGGATTCCTCCAGGGGTGGAACATAAATGGACGTCTATTCTCAGCTGAAGTTGAGTAACATAGATCTGAAATGCAATGTTCTGCACTCGTTTGTAATGGGACTTAGTCCCATTTATGACAATTCATTATTTACTTTCGTATACATATTAAGGGTAGATTGATATGTCTCAAAAATGCTTAAATTTACTACCATGTAAAGTAGATTGATAAGGCTTCTGATGTTCTGGAATAGAAGGAGTGAGATGATTTTCCAGTATTCCAGGATTTTCCTAAGTAGTCAAGCAATTCACATCTGAATTAGCAAAAGCTGGAATTTATCTGGCTATAGAGGAATATGAGTGTCAATAAAAAAACAAGCAATGATGCCTTTGCTCTTTAAGGGGATATACCATGGAACTCCAAAATGCCAGGGCAGAGAAATTCAGGCTTTTGATTGGCTTGTCAGTGAAGTCCTCCTAGTCAGAGACCTGTAAATCTGTTCATGGGTATAATCTCTTGTTCAGAAGCAAGGCCCCGTGGCTTCTTTTGAGGCATCCACTGCTGCTTATTGTCCAAAAGAAAGCTGGGGTAGATGTGGTGGTAGACTCACTCTCACTGCAGGGCCTTCATAGCTTCCAGGGAAACAAAAACTGCCCATTGGCACTGAATGCCTGGGGGACCTTTGCTGAAGAATTTAA